TGGGTTTTCGTCGCTTGGCAACGACGTTGTAAAACAAGGCGCCCCCCCCGGTGTTTGCCATCGGGGTTGGGTTTTCGTCGCTTGGCAACGACGTTGTAAAACAAGCCCCCCCCTCGGTGTTTGCCACCGGGTTTGGGTTTTCGTCGCTTAACCACGACGTTGTAAAACAAGTCAATTCACTTCGTGAACTCGGCAACCAGGTTTCCGTTATTTGTTTTACCTCTGTTTTTTTTTTGGCGGTAACCATAATGGTGGTCGAGAAGATCATGTTGTGAGGGGTGGAGAACCCTCACATCGCGCAAGGGGGATATTCGCACTACGTTGTGTTAAATTGGTCAAGCATCTTCGAGGCAGTTACACAGTGCTTACAACTGTCTCTGGAAGTGAAAGCACCAGAAAATAAATTAATTCATACGCAGCTGTCATCCGTACGCAAGGAAGTAAGCACAAGATGCCGAACACCCTTAGCAGGATGCAGCGCACCCTTCATGCGACTCGCCGAATATCTCACGGCGCTTCGCGCTTGGTGATGTGAGAGCCTGGTCCGGTGAGAACCCGGCGTGCTCCGTCCCGGCTTTGTAGGGATGCGAGGTCAATGGATTTTGCTCTTGATTTGAAAGGAGGCGTGAGGAGGAAGACTGCATGACATGCGTGTTTCGAACAGCCCCAACTGCCGCACTGTGCGAGAATCAACGCTTTTTTTTTCCCGATACCTTCCGACTGGTCGTGTGTATCTCGTATGTGTTTTCTGATGCTCTTGCGCTTTTTTCAGAACCAGTCAACCTCAAAAAATGTTGGGGTGGGTCCCTGAACCTGATCAAACTGCGGACAGGGTCACGTGAACGATGACGGCCGTTTGTAGAATGCCCCTCGGTGATGCCTGGTCATGGCGGCGATGGGACGCGAACCCCATTGCATCTTTTGTGAGTAGCACACGCTACTTCTGTGCTGCAACAAAAATGAATGCCCCCGACCCTCCGGCAGACCGCACGCATCACCGCTAGTTGCACTGCAATCGTTATGTTGTAATCAGGTTCTCTTTTTGGCATCTTCGCTGCGCCTTGTCGAAGTGCGCGATATCCCATTTGTGAGCTTGCCCTCTTCCTTCAATGCATTTCGGTACATGGTTTTAGCAGTTGGTCAAGAAGGTTGTCAGGAGGGTGAAGCCGAAAGTTGTCATGGTCGAGATCGACCCTTGTCGGATCAAGATGCTGCCTCCGGGAGAAGCAACAAAGGTATGTGTCGTCGTCTGTACCAGGTACGATGATATGGGTGGTTTTCGTGTTTTTTTCGCTGGTCGCTTTCCCGCCCGTGTTGATGTTCCTACTGCTGTACACGCTCGGCTTTCGCCAGCGATTCGAGGTCATGAGAGGTTTGGCGAAGGGTACGACACACGAAGAACGTAGGAATGTCGATCCTGAGTTTGACCTTCCTCCAACGGTTGTCGGAGGATTACCATGTGGAGGATTGACGGGCCACGTTCTACCGTGGATACACTGACGAAACGTGGGTCGACATCGCGCGATTTCCACGTCTCAACTATGGCGTTAAACGCCCACCGCCGATGACCAGAACCCTCTCGAGTACCACGCCCTCGCAACCCACATCAGGCATGCTTGTCCCCGATGTATGCGCACATTGAAGCTGGCGACCGGGCAAGATTTTTCTTACGGAGGTCCTGGTCGTCGTTTGCCATGCGCCTGGTGTGCTTTTATGTCATTGGCAAATTCGTTTGCTGGTTCGCGTGCTTTTCCCCCTGGATGATTGATCCTTGCAGGACGGCGATGGCCTGTGGTGGTGGGATGCCGTACAAGAGGCGGTGAGGAGGAGTCGCCTAGAACTGAGAGTCCACACGCGGACTGAAATCGTTGCAGACCAACGGAGATTCGTAATTTCACTTTCATGTTCCAGCACAAGCATTGCCTTCAACTTACACTAAGAATTGTCCTTTCCATTGGTGTTCGTTTGACTGCAACATTGAAGGAAACGCCCTTTGACTTACCCCGGAAAATGAAGTATCTACCATAGAGTGCCCCATTTTTTTGGGAAACAACCATATCGTGAAGTCATAGCCTGACAGGCTTTCGTTCGACTGCGGTTCTATTGATGCCACAGACTAGGATTGCCGATACCGAACGACCCTAGCCTTTATTTGGGCCACTAGGCTTGTTTCGAGCGTACTAGCAAATCTCCCGCCCGCTGCGGTGATCTGTGAACATGAACGGTATCTACGTGTGCGTTTCAGGGTCCAGCAACTGCTGTTTCTAGTGGTGATCGGGACAAGGACGAAGTCCAAGCGGCGAACACATCCCGGACTCCAGGTAAATGCAGTATCTACGGCGAGAAGCATGGGATGGTTTTACATGGAGAAATTACAGCGTTGGCTCTCAGTGACGCTCGAGGTCAATGTACACTGAATACTACCGCAGAGGTCATGGAATGGTCCCAGAGCCGGGCAGATATGCGCATTCATCGGAGTTGAAATATTCAAATGATCATGATCACATTCGCGTCCGCATGAGGCTACCACATTTCTGGTGAGGGTTTGTCGGCGTCTTGCACAGCCTCTTTTTTCGCAAAGTTCATCTTGGAGGCTGCCTTGTTGAGTGTCGGCTTTCGATGTTGTAAACGTTGTCTCTATTCCAGGCGATGGGCTTGAAACGGCGACGAATGCTGTCGCCAGAACGAGACGCAGGGCCAAGAACGACATGAATACCGACGGAATGGAGATGAGCGAGTTCTATGCAGCAGCTCGGCAGGCTGTCGCTTGTGGCGCTCGCGTTCTTCTCGGAGACAGAGACTTCCAGGTTGGTGGAAGTGATATGTGAAGCTGGCAGTACACTTCGTCTCCAGCTCTACTTCGCATCGGTTCATGCCCTGGTCGATATGTCTGGAGGTTTTGTTTGAACGTGTCTTTTTGCACCTTGTGTGATATTCGAACTCTTGAAATGGTCGGTGCGAGTGACAGAAAAAATGATCCTCGATTGGCGTACATTGCCACACCTTACGACTGTGTTCAAAAATGTCCACAAGAGCCGTGGTGTCGCGAGCTCCGTTTGTGATAACAGTGGTGTGCATTCCTGTGGGTCATTCGGGTTCCATCTTGATAGCCGCGTGCTTGAGCCCTTGCCGGCTCTGGCGTTCGAGCTCGTGCCTAGCACAGACCTTTCCAGCGATCTCCCACTGGGCCGCGTGCATGTCGAGGTTGACATCGGCAGCACAAGCTGCACCTTCAACTAGTTGTCTGCTCGGACCATTTGCAATCTTGTTCCCGGGCAAGGGGCCTCTTGACGAAAACTATTCCGGGTGGCCTCACACATCAGATAATGGAGTGCGCACCGAGTCGTCCCTTGAACAGGTGGACAGCGGACAAAATGATCTCAACTGAGACATATTTTTCTATTTTTCACCTTCACTTACATTACAGCCCATGAAACTTTCAATCCCGAAAAAGCCGAACCAGCTTTCTTCGAGCTCCACCTATGAGGTTCGGGCGCGGAATGCACCTGGCACGTTGTCCTCAGCCAGGTCCTGTTTCGCATGTCAACGTGAACGTCGCTGTAGGAGACCACGCGCCGAGTCTCCGACGCGGACCGTGCGGACCAGGAAGAAGCGATGAGTTCACTCGGGGACAGCAGTGCGGGGAAGAAAAACACGGTCGAACCACGAATCAAGCGACGTGTCCTCGAGGTGAACGCCGCTAGATTCTCGGCACACATCTCGCTGAGCCTCGAAGATGCAACGCTGCTGTTCACCAGCTGGAAGGGTAGCGTGTCTCATGTGACCGTACACCGTTGGTGATTCCATGAATGGTCACGGCGTGGAGAAATGTTCGTTATTTCTTCGATCTTTTTCTTCGGCAACGGTACTGTGATATTCACCTTGGGCAGGAGACCCCCAAACTGGTGGGAACCGTTGGCAATCAGCCTTCTGTCTTCTCCCCCTTTTCCATCCATGATTTGTGCGAAGGTCACGTGATGGCTTGTTTTGTTTCTTGCCAGACCCGAGCCTTGATGAAGCATCAACTCAGTTATCCACACCCAACATGTCACGGGCGCTGACGATACTGCCTTCCGAAACGGCTCTGCAGGGAACATCACCCGCTTTGTGGCGCAAGCTGCGCGACTTGGAGAAGACCTGGAAACCTCGAAAGTTTGCAGTCCTCGTGACCGAGCGAGATGAGGTGTGTCCATACTAAGATTTTTCAGTGGACAGCAGCAGGTGCAATCGTCGCCTTCGAATGAAATTAAGGAGGGGGGATGCACACCTTTTGTACCCATGCGCCCAGGTAGTTGCCGTCACCTCAGCGACGTTGTCTATTGCCTCTACAGGTACGTTTCTGACGAATTTTGTCGCCGCAATTTGTGGGGCCCATAACGACGCTCACTGATGTTCCCTATCTTCACAATCTTGGTTAACCAGGTGATGGCGAGCAATCTTTTGAAAGTCGAGGAGGGTCAAGGAACGGTAGCTGTAGTTGGGGCTCACCACACGATAGGAATCGGAGGAATCTTGAAGGCCAACGGATGGAAAACTCGGCGAAGATGAGGCGCTCAGGCGATGTCGTCGGTGGCATGACCGAATGCGTTGCTCAGAAATTCCTACGCTTCCGAGGAGACCTGACGTTCACCTCACGGCCAAACTCATCGTGGAAAGGGAGTTATGTTATTCGGCAGAACTCTGTCCGCCTGCGAAGCGAATCATGGATACCTTGCCCGCACCCGCTGAGCGAATAATATCGGGGTGAGCTTTAATCGGGAGATGGGTGGAAGACGCGACGAATGCTGAAGTCAAACAATCGCGACATCTTGGGAGGGAATACCTCCTGTTCAGTGAACACGAAGCTGATGTTCTAGGTAAAATGACTCTCCGCACCTACAGGGGAATCATCCTTGGAGACCATTCACCGTGGTCAATGTGCTTGTAAATCGCATCTTGGAGTGTATGGGAATCATCCTTGGAGACCATTGATCGTGGTCAATGTGCTTGTAAATCGCATCTCGGAGTGTATTCCGTATTTGGCGGTGAACGCCGCCACCCAAAGGTTTCAGCAGCAAGGCGAGGCTTTTACAAGTCTTGCGACGTCGCACCATCTATCGCATCAGTCCCTCGACACGACAGGGAATTCCGGATTGTCGTGCTGCCGCAAAGCACCTCTGTGTGCCTGTCAAATACTCTATAATAGCATGATGACATGCATTCCAATTTCAATCCGTGCTGTTTAGACCTGTTAAATATAAATACGGTATGAAGAAGGCAGGACGGAGATGGCTGAACGGATAGAAGACATGTTTGCTGGACTGAGGTTGATCATGTAGACGATAGCAGGAATACCAGCCGAACGCATTCCCATATTTTGTTTTCTGTCGTGTCGCTACCCCCCCCCCTTCGAAGTGCCCCCGAATTGATGTTGTGTCGTAGGATGTCACTAATCTGTTTGATGTCACGTTAGTGGTTGCCCTTTCGTTGTTGTCGGTAGGCTGGAGCGTCAGAGGGGACATGTCTATGTCCCCTTTCGTTTCGGTTGTCTTCTCCGTCTCTTTCATTCTGTCATCCCTTTTTTTGGCGAGGGTCGATGATCTGTATCCCGGTTTTCAGCCCTTTTCCTTTTTTTTTTTTTGTTATTTTTTTTGGGGGGTAGAAAACAAATCACGCGATGGAGGAAGTTTTTTCTGGTGTCTATTTTTATTTTTTTGGAAGGTGTACCCCTCCTTTGGAGGCAGTTCGCTTGTGACCACGAAAGGCGTCCGCGTCAGTTGGACCACAATAGACAGTAGAAAATACTGAGAGGAGACCGGAACGGTTTTTAATGTGAAGACAACAACAGCAGCAACAACAATTTCCCAAGTCCTTGAGAACACCACTGGCTCGCACCATGCCACAAGCCCCGCACGGTAGTATGAGAACTGGGTGCACCGCTGTTATTTCTAGGGGTTGGCTCGCCTACGCCCGTCTACGCTGCCAGCCGTGACCCTTCAACACTTTCTCGACGCCATCAAGGTGTGCCACTCCGATCACCGCTACCGTCGTCTGCTCTCCCCGCAGCTTCATCAAGTTCTTCGCCATCACCTACGGAAGCAAGACAAAGGCATTCAACATATTCACTCGCAGATTAACGATTGCAAGCGACATTGACGGGATCGGTTTCAGAGTGAAAAAATGATACTACCTTGAGCTGTCGCCTGCAGCAGCATACGAAGGGATCGGCAGCATCGTAATGAGCTCGAGTGTGAGCCGGCACGATTGTCACGGGCGTCCTCCATCACGGCTGGGACTTTTCGAACGAAACGCATGCACGCAAACTTCATCTGTTTTTCGCCAGTGTCGAACTGAGGCGAAGCGAGGCGAACCGCACGCAACAACGACACAACGATTGTTTTCCGGACATTCATCGTCTCAGGAAAACCCCCGTCAAAGGTTTCAGACTGGCGGAGCATCGGAAGCGCAGTGGCAAAATCCACCAAACGAAGCAACGAAAGGGCATCGAAGAAGCACGCGTGGCGGGCCGCATTGACAGCGCGTGTGTTATCAGAGCGGTAGGCCTGAGTTTGCCTTCGGAGCGCAGTGAGCTTCGCAAATAGATGGGTGAAAGCGGTGTACTGCATGTAGTCACAGTCATTCAATTCATTTCAGTCGCTCGCAGTTTCAACGTACCATGTGCGATGTGGCCTCGGTCAACCGGAGTTGGTGGCACACAGAACACAGTCTTCCCGCGGTAGGATATGAGAAGGCTTCAGCAACATATTCCTCGAGCGTCTGACGAATGAAACGTGACCTCGAATTTCAATGCACAAGTGGACGAGACAAAGGGCAGGGGATGTACACGCACCTGATCTCGCTGAGTGCACATGACCTTGAATACTTTGGGCGCTCGTTCCTTCATCTGCGCGCACTCCTTGCGTGTTATGGCGCGTGTTGATTCCTATCCGGGGTGTGTTTAGCCGAAAACAATCTGGCGTGAGCGCAAAGGGCTGTTCAAGAGCGTGTGGCACACACCGAATACTGGAGTAAGCAAACATTTAAAATATCGTGGTCCACATAAACCTCCACCAAATGGAACGTCCGTCCGGATCCAGCGAGAAAGGGAACCTTGGCTATTCGCACCGGCAAGATGGGTCTTGCACTTCAAAAATACATATCCACCTCAATGAAATGCCGAACACTTGGCAACAGCTTGGGAGGGGGCACCCCGCTTCTATTCCACTTGTCCTTGTTAACGCACCTCCATCTGAGTCTAAAGCAATGGGAGTGTGTCTCACTTGGTACGGAGTTGCGGAGGTCTGGGTTGGTTGTGCAAGCCTAGTCGGCAAACTTTGGCAAATTCATTCTGGGTGCGCGTTAGAATACAGCAGAGGGGGGGTGCGGTGCAAGAAATCTTGAGAAACAAACGGCCGGTGCGAGAGTCTGTCGTTCTAGACAGAAGGCTGGCTCACCTCGCAGTCAAAGCTGGTGATGAGATCATTGAACTCTTTCCTCTCCTTTGCGCTAGCCATGTCCGCTCGTTTCGCTTTCTCCAGTAGACGACCCGTCGTCTGTCGCGAAATCGCCCACGAGAAGCAAATGGGGGATGGTGGACAGGGGTATAATAAACTGCCCCCCGAATGAACGGATGGCAGCAAGCGAACACAACGTAGCCAACGTACGCAACGGAGGCGTAAACGTAAAGGACGGCAGAGTGTCCACTGAGGTCAACTCTGTTGCGGATCATGCTAAACAGGAACCGAACCCGTACTTCCAGAAGTACGCGCCATCAACTATAAGGTTCCGCACCTCGTAGTCCCTGTCTCCGAGGAGCACTCTCGCACCACACGCTCCCGCTTCGCGTACTGCAGTCTGGATTTCAATCATGGGTGAAACTGATTCTTCCTCTGAAGGAATGTAAGCCGAAGGGGGAAACCAATAGCGGGTGTCGCAGTTAACACCAGTATCGCTAGCACACCTAACGAGTACACACAATGTCGAGAAGCACCGGCGATATCTGCATTCGCCGGGCTCAGATTATTGCAGGGGCCGAGGGCGGCAATATATGATCAGGCACTTCAAGGGGTTATCGCAGCTCCTTTATGCTTACAACCCTACGGAGCACTGCATTTGTCGTGTTTCGTGGTCAGGGCCGCGAACAAATGACGCCGCAGGGTTACCTGCGCCCAAAGCGTTGCGTAGTGCACCTCCCACTCACCGTCATCCACGTCCTCGTCGTTATCCTCAGCATATTGTCCGTCTTTATGGCCATCCTCATCTACTTCAGCTGATCCCTCCTGTTCAAAACGGCGGGTTACAGCAGTCCAAAACAAATCTCTGGGCCGTCTGCACACTTAAAAACAAAACGATTGGTTTTCAAGCCAATCGAGATTCCTTTGCATGGTTTCCGGGCGATATACTCGCGGCGTACGACGGTAAGTGAAACAGCAATGCTGCAATCGGGACAGCAGGCAGTATGTACCATGCCTGAACCAATCCAACAAGCACACGACGTTTCCGTACGTTTGCCCCTGCCCTGTAGTAGAGCTACTCGTTACCGAAGATTTGCTACATTCTCTGCTTCTCAGTCATTTTCTACGGCCATCGTGATTCCAACAACCGTCAGTCGTTGTCGAGACACCCAGTCTTAGGCGGGTGGGTCTTGTTCACGTTCGAAGGCCAGGAAAAGCTGAAAGCACAGTCACAAGGAGGCGTCACGTAGTCGTTTTCGGAGTGTTCCGACAGTTATCTCCCAGAAGAAGCTGCTTCAGCCCGTCCAAACAACGGTTGAGGTCTGGTTGGTGCTGCAAAGGAGGTGATGACGGGTATACTGTCTCATTCGACGACTCCGGAGAGAGCGATTTGACCTCATTTTGGTCGTCGCAAATGTCGGGTAAGGGGATCACGGGAAAAGTCTGCCCCGGAGGTGGAACCGTCTCCCCAGCTGGTGGTGGTGACGGTGACATGAAAAAGAGCCATTGCATACTCTACTCTTGGAAAAACGAGGAGGAGCTCCGCATGTCGGCAAATTTGTTTTTTTCTCCTTGTTTGATCAAGCAATCGCCATGTACGATGCTTTCAGCGACCTCAACCGAGGAGGGGTACAAAAATATCAGTATCGACCGAGAGACTGTTGAAATAAGTGTTCTCATTAACACCACACTGAAAGATATTACATCCATCGTGAGCGATTTCAGTAACACAAAAAATACCGGTTTCAGTGTACATGACATGACACACTAAACGGGGTATAGTGAGCTACTTGTATTAAGGAACTTCAACTTGAATAACAACATTTCAGCAAATGTATCCACTCATAGATACAGTAGATTTCGTAACGGTTCGTAGAATGTTTCCGAGGTCGGGCACACATTCCTCGAACGGTTCTCAGGAATGTTTACAGGAAAAATCCAGAATACAACTGTATGGTTCCCGGAACGTTTCCGGAACAGTGCTTTTGGTCATATAGAACGGTATTTGGTTTCTAAAACGTTTCCGGAACATTTCCGGACTGGTAATAAGCTCACCAGGCAGAGCGCACGCACCCCACCGGGCTCAATCTGTTTCCTGCCTAGTTGCAATTCAACAAATTTGTGGTACAACTCTTTTCCCCTAATTTCTCTTTGAACACCATTTCATTTGTTTGTTAACATTCTACAGTGCACCTCCGCATAGCTATCAACAACACACGCTTGCTCACTGCTGAGACCGCCGTAGCACAGGTCATTTGCGTCATCAGCCTATTTTCTTGATTTTAGTGAGATTTTTTTTTCAGTAGATCTAACGTTCGCTGAAAAGAACACACCAAGCGATCTAGCACAGGCAAAACCACCAGAGAGCTGTTCTTGACTACAGTCTTAGTAGACCCTAAGCTTATGATTTTCAACACACAACAAACAGGTACATTATCACGCCTGTCTCATCCTTACCGGTTCTTCCTCTGGTGCCCACCACCACAGGCCGTTTCGGGTCTGCGCGACAGGAGAACGTCGGAAGGCGACAACCACGGCGGCATAAAAGCTTGTTATTTTTCTCACTTACGACACACCCAGTTAGTTCATATTCACAAATGAGTCCGGGATAGATTTGCAGTGACTTCATGGCGTCAGCGGAAGCAACCTGTGTTTCCCCAAGCAGTATACAGCGATTCCTCCCCTTTCTGTATTCAAACAAACAGGTAAGGCATGCACTCAATGGCGTCGAGGCCAAAAAAGGCGTTACGAACGGCACATGAGCGGGCGGGCGGGATCGCATGGCTACTGCAGGATCGGAACAAACTAGCTTCCTAAAGGCACCCGAGTCGTTTGTCCCTGGACTCAGCACAACGGCTCTCCGGGGGCTGGGGCTGAGGGGTACAGCAAGCCAGTCGTCGCTGACGGCGTTCAACGTGCTCGCTTCCGTTTGTGCCTGAAGGTCAACAAATACGACGGTCCTAACATCCAAAGTTCGGAGCCGCACCCACCTCCATGGCCTCCCCTGGGGGAAGCACACAAATGCGATCCGCATCTAGCTCCACCATGACGACTTCTGGCCTGATCTCCCCGATCGCTTCCTCCACCAACTGCTCGGCGGAGAGAAGGCACCCATGTGCAGAGAGAGGGACATGGCAGTCTGTATCGGAGACACCGGTGACCCAAGAACATTGTATTCTTAGAACCCGCAATGGACGGAGGTAGTACCTAAGAGACATTATTCCTAGACGAAATAACATAGACCTGGGGCGTCCTCCATCGAGTTGGGGTGCTGCGGAATCGAAAACGTGCGAACTACACAGGAGATGTACGTACAGTATTACACCCAGCGGTTAGGACAAAATCGGCGCCACCCCGTGCAGCCCCCTCTGGCTGCGCCAAAATGCGTTTGCTGTAGTGTTTCCAGCACTCCAATCGTACCCGCCCAAATCTCATCAACGCTTCAAAGATGTACACAATTCGTCAGGAACCCTTGCTGTTAGGGCAATAGGGACAAATGACCACGGGAAATGTATCGGAGCGCGGCAACGCGGAACACGCGACAGGCAAAGCCCCTGGTGACCTATCCATCAACGCCGGCGATGCAAGAGGACATGTGGACTGCAAATATACAAGGAGCGCACTGAAAAAAAAAAAAGAAGTTCCCAGGCACAACACTTGACCACCAACAACTGCAGAGTGGCTTCCTCATACCTGCACCCCAGACTTCGTGCCGTGGACAACTCCCACAAGCCAGATGTGTGATTCCTTTGCCGGGTGTACCCAGTAGGATACGGCATCGTTCGATATGCACTCGGGTAACGTCTCTTGCGTTGGATCCGCCGACACAGTGGTTTCCTCTGCTGATGCCTGTACCTGCTGACTCCTCAGAGGTAGAGACCTGGAGCGGTGTGCGCCCACGGGTTGGCATGAACATCTGCAGAAAGCAGTGGAACCGACCAAAAAACAGCCACCAAAAGTTGAGGTCGAGGGTTGAACACGATCAACGTGAAACGGCATGCTGAACCACTCGAATGTCCCTAACCGCAACACCGTAATACAGCGTTTTTCACTCAAAATTACACGCACTACAGCAGTGGGCACCCGTGGGTCCTCGAGCCGGTCATGAGGCCAAGAAAATTATGTTGGGGTTCGGGTTGCGGTGGGTCGCGGTGGACACCGCAGTACATCCACAAAGGTGTGTCTGGCAAGTTCGTTTCGTGCTCCTTAGTGTAGTTCTTATTGTTGCAGCGCGGGGCTGACAACGAGGTTCCCAGGGCACTGGGCCTGAGAATAAGCTGTGAGAAGAGGGTGCATCATTGGCGAAAATATGAGGGTTTGTGCGTAGATGTTGTACATGTATTATAGTTGCTGTTGCTGGTTGCGCAGCGAAGAGCACGCGTGGGTCTGTATTATTTGGCGCCGACGTGTACTCGTGATAGGGATTGGAAAAGGACGGCGATAGTCGCGAGCACAAGTCAAACAAAAACCGCATATTCCCAACATCAACGGCTGGCGCGACTTTGAATCGTTGAACAGGGCACATCGAGGCGGTCGGCCATCACGACTCTGCACTGGGTTGTGCTGCTGCAGAATACGAGTGGGGACGACCCGGTTTGAAGTTTGAACGAAGGCCTGGGGGGGGGTTGACTTGTGCGACAACTCTGGCGATTTGTTGACAAAGTCAAACCACTTGCCCCCCTTCCTGGACCACAACACAGTGACTTCTTTCTCACCGACGCGTGAGAGGGTCGAACCCCAGCTCCATAGACATGAAACGCTCCCTGCCCTTGACCGCAGCGTCAGTTCCGCTCCTGGCCGCACCTCTGCTGTAGTGAACGTCACAATCTTGTCGCATCCGCACCACGGACCGCAACCTTGTCGCAGGCAGGATAAACGATCCCGCCGGCGAACATGCGAGAGGAAGCACGAGAGACAGTGATCGAATCCCCATCATGAAGCCAGGAGGGTGTCGTGAGTGGTTCAAGTGTGCCAGACACGTGCACGAGGCACCAAGACACAACGCCGGCCGGCCACATGCGGCGGATGTTTTTTGACGGGGGCTCAGTGTGTGGAAGCGGTGGGATACAGCTCCGTGATAAAACGCTGGCCGGCAGCATCGGGACCGGCTTGGACCGACTCCAAAAATCTTCATCCGCGATCCGCGAGCATGTGGGGCTTCTCACTCCCACACTCCTCAACAAGCGCGGAAGACGGGAGTGCAGCGGATGCCGCGTTTTCCGTGGTTGAGGGTCAAGACATGGCCGCCGAGGGTATCTATCTCTCGGTTTTTGTATACTGATGTCGATGTTCCGGTTCGAGATCTAGGTACCGAGGGGATGGGCACCAACGAGGCAGCTACTGCATGTTCACACAGCAGGTACCCGTTATCCACAGCCGACACCAGTTCCGGGCGACTGGCTACTCACGAACGGAACTGACGGGTTGCTCCTGTACAGCGCCCAAATATCCTCTGCTTTTTTCTGATAGTTCTCCCCGTGTACAGCAGTAGTACACGGGAGAAAGGCCACTACAGTACCATTTGATCAAGGTGCCGCAAGGACGCGTGCGGACTAAATAAGAGTGCTCGCGCTCCGCAGATTAAAACCGTTTAGTCTACATGCGGAGGCTCATTTTCTTGGCTCGGCAAGGACTCCCAAATTGATCACCATACGCGTGGGCGATTGCTATGAATGGGAGGGCATCCCTAAGGAGCAAAGGTTATTCGCACCAAATCGCTCGAAGACACCGGCGCGACTTTAGTCTAATCAACGTCCACACACTGGCTCAGTCGTCGATCGGATCAACCATGCCGGATCAAAAAGCTGGCTGGGGTAAAGACTGTTGCTCCCGCTCACACACTTCCCCCTTCTTTCATCTCTCCATCTCGCCACGCCACCCCTGAACTGGTTCAAGGTCAGCTGCTACGGTAAGTGTACGTGTAAGCCCTGCTGCTGTCGATATTCCTGACATTTCGTGTACATCGCGTGCGATACCATGGGATGCGCGCGTGCGATCGTCAGCTTTTTGTCCGTGCCTCACAGGGGACGCAACGGCAATCCGGCGCTTGGCGTCTTGAGCCATCCTCGGGCATTGCCTATGCTGGGAGCACCACCACCAGCACGAGTTGAATGTATTTGTAGTATGCTGCAGCTGAACTCTTCCCTGTTCGAGTCATGTTAAGTTTGTTGCCATGTGGGGGTGGGTGAGCCGTGCACTGGACGGAACTGCTGTACATCCAATAGTTTGCCCAGATCGAGTACTGGCTTGGTTTCTGTGAGTTCAACGATTACCACAGACAAACCCTCAACGCCTTGCCGCCGCCGATGGAAGACAGTGGGTCCTACTGGCTACTCGGCTGGCTGCGTGAGGCAAAGTGGAAGTCATCGTTGTTATGTCCTAGAACCACTCAGTTGAACCCTTCGAGCCATTTTTCCTTAGTCTACATGGAAGCATTTGTTCGGCTGGTGGGCCACGGCCAGAGAGGCGGCCTTTTGACTTCGCTGTTGAGACCCTTAACATATTTCGGCGGTTAGGCATTGATACGTGTGTAGTGGCTGGAGGTCCGTGTGTGTGGTATACCCTCACGTCCACCCTCACGTACGCCTGTACGCCCTAGTTCTGTTTGTTGTTCGTCTCCAATATGTCACCGCCTCTGTGTCGTCCTTGGCTAGCGCTTCTGCCTTCCCTACAAACTATGTAAATCCCTCCCCTCAATGGAGCTATAACTTGCCAGCACAAGGGTGGCCACACACTTGCGTGCTACCACGAGTTAGCGCAATACGAAGAATCGATTTTCGGCCAGAAGCGGCTCGCAAGGTGAACAACACAGCTCATCTTCGTGAACATTTGCTATACCCATATTCGCCCTTGATGCCACTTTCGTGCTTTGCGAGGCATTTTCGACTCCTCAGAACTGTCCCACCGTGCCTCTTCGACCACTTGATGCTGCAAGTTTACCCTCCCTTGATCCCCCCGAACGAATGCAGCAGTTTCTCTCGCAGAACTGCTCTGCAGATACATGTCATCTAGTCGCTCGCTTCTTCATCCAACACAGCACGCGGTGACCAATGCATACAAGAATGTTTTCCGATCGCACGCTCGGTGTCTGATGTGGCGGGTCCAATACGTAGGCGTGAGGCAGCCCTTTCGTAGGAGGACCACGGAGAGCATGAATGACTCATTCATATTGAAAGATACCCTTTGCCCGCTGTCCGCTCTGGTTGTAAAACATGCGTTGGTATTCTTCAAGTGCTTTAGAGATGGACGCAAGCGTAGTGACGAAGGGTGGGCGAGAGCAATAGCAGAACATGTATGTCATCCGTGGCTGCCGAGTGCTGAGACTACTGTAGCAGCGCCTAAGAGCTCTGCTGTCACCGCACTAGAAGTGACGGCAAGCGGAGAGAGGATGGGAAACTCTTTCAAGGAGACAGTGCGTGTTGAGGACATTCACCGGCGCGCGGCTGTGCGTGCTTCGCTCGCTTCCCTTGGTCCTCTCGGTTGTTTCTTTTGTCGCCCGGCTTTCACCGCCGGCGCTTCGCCTCGGTGGGGCGCTCCAAGTGCTCCAGTCGCTCTGCCCGTCACCCACGGCCAGATGTCTGCTCGGTGTTAGGCTCGGACGCAGGTCCTGGAATACTTCAAGCACGCTGCCCAGGCGAACCGCCGCTGGAAAAAAGCACCGTGAAAACGGAACACCGAGAGGACCAAGGGAGGTGAAGGAAGCCCAACCGCGCGGTGGTGCGTGCTCTCAACACACGCTGTCTCTCTGGAAGAACATCCCACCTTCTCTGCACCTTTCGTCAGTTTCCATGTGGTGCCCGCACAGCACCCAGATGCTGCCGCAGTACTTGTAGTCTTAAGCACTCGAAAGGCACGAGTGACACGCCGTTCTTGTGCGGTTGCTGCATGGGCCGGCCGATGCCTTCGCTCATGCTGTTCTACAAGAAAGGTAGAGTTATGAAGCAGTGCCCTGATAGTACCGGTCGTTGTAGAAATGGCTACTTCTGCCTGAACCACGTTATTTGTGAACGCCTACAGCACTTCTGACTCAGAAACTGCAATGCGAGCCGTGATTGTTGTCTGATGTGATGCACTGCGACGCAACCACATCTATCTCCCCTCCCCAGCGTAGACCCTACACGATGCAAGTGGTGGTACCGCGCAGGCCCACGATGAGCGGCACCAGCGCCGGCGCCAGCGCGACGAGGAGGACAAACACGGACACCAAACCGGACACGATGGCACCGGCGGCCAGGGCTCATGACTGAGGCGAGATACGCTGGTGCTTGGTTCTCGCCGTTTACTGCAAATGCCTCCTTCCTGTAGGCTCGGAGTTGTGCCACGACGGCAGGCTTGTAGGCATGTCTCGACTTAAGTCTTGCAGCTCCTCGAGAGCCCTTCCCGTCGTCCCAAGTATCTTAAACGTTCAGAGGAGTATTTGATTTTCCTGTTTCTGTACATGGTGATAAAGGCGCACGTAGCTTGTCCAACAAGCCCCGTGACGGCCGAAAGAGGGCAGCCATGCGGTAGATACCTTCCCTACGGTTGAGAAGGTATGAGCTCGGGCGTGGTGACCAAGAGGGGACGAGAGCCCTTCTTTGACGCCGCACTTTGGCCCAAGAACGAAAATCCCCGCCCGTTCGGGACACTTGCACATCTTCACGGGCGGGGCACTTGGCGCGCCGTCGAGACGAAGCGCTGACGAACGCAGTATGTAGGCAAGCTGGAATAATGGAAAGCCCAAGGGAGATTAGGGAAGCACGTACATCCTCCCGGCGTTGCAGCACGTTGTGTCGTTGGAAGAGCATGCACCGGTCATCAGGTTTCATGCCGTGGCCGAACAGCTCCCAGGCGCTGCCACAGTAGTCCGAGCACTCGGCAGCCACGAACGACGCGCCGTTCTGGTGGGTTTGCTGCATGGGTGGACCGATGCCTTCGCTCATGCTGTGCTACACGGAAGGATAGAGTTATGACGTAATGCCGCGGTACTACCTGTCTTGTAGAAACGCCCACTCCAACCTGAACCACGATGTTTGTTAACGCGTACAGCGTTCTTGACCCAGAGCCTGAAACGCTTGCAGTCATTGTTGTGTTATGTGGTCCTCTGCGACGCAGCCCCATCTCCTGCTGCCGTTGTAGACCCTACCATTTCGCCGTGCGGGCCCCGCGCCCTCGGCGACGAGCGGCGACAGCTCTAGCACCGACGCCAGCACCGGTACTCGCGCTAGCACCAGGACACACGTCGCCATCACATTGGAATTCGATGGGGCCGGCTTCCAGCGTTGATGATTGAGGTCAGAGACGCTGCTGCCTTGTTGTCGTTGTGTCGAGCGCGTATGAGGAGCTGCAAAACACCAGCAGAAATACATCTACATGCCTGCCGTCGAGGCACAACCCCGAGCCTACAGGAAGCGTGTGATAACGACGGCATTGTTAGTCTAATATGCATGCGACACGGCGATAGACAAGCTTGTACATGTCTATCCTCAGCCATCAGCCCAGGAATTCGGTGCCATCGTGTCCGGTGCGGCGCCGTTTGTCCCCGTGCTGGCGCGGGCGCCGGTGCTGGTGCTGGTGCTCTTGCCGTCATCCGACCTTGCTCGGCCGTTCGGGGATTTGGAGTTTATTATGCAATGTTTCTTACGGTGATGTAGGCGCAAGTAGCTTGCCCATCAAGCGCCGTGGCGGGCAAAACAGGAAATGAGATAGGAGTCGCCGAGGAATCTTCTCCAGCAAAGTAAACTACTGTCATAGCATAGCCTACAGCTTTCCGGCCCTTGTTCGTGTCTCGTCAATTGTACCCGCGACCAGCCGGAGGAGGTCTTCTGTGCGCCCGGGCGCTATCAATACGATCGGAGGGCAACGTGTCGATGCTCAGGTTTGGACGAGAGAGCAGATACTGTAGATGCCTCACTCCACCTAGACAAACTTTGAAGGTTTCCGCATTGGAACCGCGAGCTAGCATTTGAATATGCCTGCTATTTATGCTAATCCGTCGCACACCTAGACGGGTACAAGTGGTTGGAGGGATCCGAGCTGAACCGGTTTGTCTCCCC